AACAGAGTCTCCCGTTCCAAACAGGATGTCATTTGAGTGCACTGTCCTCTTTGACTGAGCAACAAAGGTCTGCTTCTCACACAGGTAGAATCTGGGTGTTACTGTGCGCGTCGAGTCATTGAGAACTTCTACAGAGACTCCTATTGCCTCACCTGTTTTTAGGAGGAAAATAAACATTCACGTTTAAGATAAGGCCACTTCACAGATATCAGTTCATTCTTTTTGAAAGCTGTTTACCTTGCTTCACTCCCATTCTTTCTGAGGTAACATTCATAGTTACTTTTCCAGAGCCAAAAAATGAAATCCTGGTCGCACATTGTTGCTCCTAAAGACATAATCTGTCAGTAAACCAAGTCTCTGAACACCAGTTTGAACTGGCATCAGGTGGATAGTTGATTATTACAGTATTTTATCACAGTATTTCATAGCTCGTCATTAAAGTGCCATTACAAATTTAACTGGACACAAGTGGAAAACAGAAAGTAAAAGAAAAAACTCATTCAAGTTTAACAGATGATCACTTCTGTACCTTAAGTCCGATTATTATCATTTCTGATTTGGAGGCAAAGGGGAACTCAGCCTTGGTCAGGAAAGGGAACTCAGTCTTGGTTTTGTGGACAAGCCAGATTGACTGAGTCAACTGTGCTCGCAAACTGTATGTAATCTTGCCCCATTTCCCCTCATAAGATGAGGGCATACCTCTGTAAGGAAATGATCCAAACAAATAAGAGAAATTATTTCAGTTCAGCAGCTGGTAAGGAGGTGTTTATGTTAAATATAAATTTCATATATAGGGTGAGGTTATTAGCACACGCACATATTGGGAATCTTAAAGGTGAATGGATACACATTTCTCCCAGGGCCGATGATTTCTGAACCTTCGAAAAAGAAACTTTTGTGTTAGTACATTTGTCATCATATCAGAAGCTTTGAGCCATTTTTTGGCACAAGAGAGAGAGACCATACTAACCATCTCCTTTGTTTTTATCCTGAAGAATAATATGTTCAAAATAAAAGTATTTCTTCTTGTCGCTGTGAACCACTGTGGTTAGTCCTTCTTGTTCATGCCATGTCACCTCAGCTTTTCCTTTGGCTCTGACCAGAAAACACTGCACTTTAGTTTCCTTGTTGGTCACCGCTATCACTCTCCCAGAGATAATATCCCCAGGTGAGAAGGTGCCTCGTTCATTGACCTTGTTGTACTCCACCGAGAGATGCTTTACAGTCATGATAAGATTACATCAAATAACCTTCCCAAAGCTTGTGGAGTGAAAGCACAAGTAACAGCCGCCTTTAGTGCAAAAAATTAACTGGAGCCATTTTGAATGGATCCACAGTGGGACCTTAAGTTGATGAACAAGGATGCTGGCAAGGCTTGCCTATGCACTGTAGCAGAACCTGTATCTGTGTCACACATGATCACGTGATTAAGAGCTGCAGGTGTCACTTTCACACAGGTAACTCTAGCCAGCAGCCTTGTAGGCTTAACTAGGCTAAATAAATTGAGATTGACAATGCGCGCTGACTGGCCTATATGTGTGAAAATTAATTGGTATTCCTCAGTGAAGACAATTGAAAACTGTCAAAACCACAGTAGCTTACAACACTGCATAATCAACATATCAATGACATTATATTCACAAAATCATAGCATTCCTTCTATCTTTGTTCACAGACAGTATTATATGTCGGTTACACAACATGCATTATAAAACAGAGTAGAAACATGAGATTTCTTCTGACTCAGATACTGTACAGTTAAAGAGGCTTTTGTAAGTTTTCACTACTGCCAGAGCAGATGGTGGTGACTGTCAACAAGAGCCTCAGCCATCATTGTCTTGATAATACCAGAGGTTATAATACATCCTCTGAGCAGCGCTGTGCCTTCAGTGGATATTGGAGGCCGCAGTGAGTCACTATCGGAAAGTGACGTAATTGTTGGGGGTTAGCTGGTCATCTTGCTAACTTAAGTAAAAGAAAAGATGTAATACAGACAAGAGTTAACATTATTGTTGCTTTCAACCCCTTAAGACAACTCTTGGTGATTAAAAGAATGAAGTTTGATGCTAAACTCACAACATTTGTTCTAGACAGGTGAGTAAACAGCTGTTAATGCTTAATGCTAACGCTGGCTATGTAGCAATAGCAAAACTTACAAGACGTTCCTTTAAAGTAAATTAGGAGAATGATACAGAACTTTCAAGTGGCAGGAATACAGTATTGATGATTCAGGCAGGCATCAAGCATCCTTGATGAGTACACATTAAAGACACATACAGAAGCATTCAGAGCAAGTTTCCTTTCAGTACTGCTGTCCTGCACTATAGAGAATGCATTAAAGAATCACATCAGATAGTTTTACTTCAGGAGTGGCAACTTCAAGAAAAGATGAAAGTCCAATGAATTACATTTTGGGTGGCCTAGTGCTTAACAGACTCTGGGTCAGTACCCATTCCACAACCTTTTTGACCAGCCTTCTCAGATTTACTCAAATACATTATTAGTGCCAAAATAGAGATTACATAATGACAAATTAGATACATAAGAAGACAGTTTTGTCATATAGCACACTTCATTATAATCATTACAAACACATTATTGTAGTTTTCATTAAAAATGGATACAAGCACATGTGACACATAGTTTTTTTCATGTGTGAGATGGGATTAGAGTTATCTGAGTTAATTTAAATTGAAAAATTCAGTCGATTCTATGTGGGCTTATCTTGCCTTTTGGAGGTTTGTTGTTACGTCTGTGGATATTTGAACTTTTGAATTCACGAGTCAAAAAAATATCCCATAATTTGTCTGTGCAAGCAGCTTATTATGACCCATAGTTACATTTCATTGTGAAGTGACCTCTAGTGGTTGTAGTAATGATGATGGGAGCAAAGGAGAAAGTTAGGGGACGAGGAGGGGAGGGGTGAACTTTAACACACAGGAGACCACTGTCCTTTCCCTTGTGAAACTTTGTCTCTTTTATCCATGACCATTCCACAACCTTAACCATGTGCTTATCTGTCATGGTATGCCATGGCAGACATTTTATGTTTGACTTTGTTTTGGATTTTGTCACTTCCTGTTTTATTTTGTAGTTGGTTTCCTTGTGTGTCTCAATGTTTTTACTTCCTGTCTTGGTCCTGTTTCTGTTTGGTGATTGTCTACCCCGCTCTAATGTGTTTCACTTGTGTTCAATCACCCTTGCCTCCCTTGTGTCTATATAGTCTCTGTGCTCCCCTTTGTCTGTGTCAGTTAGTCTGTTCATGTCTGGTTTGTCCTCGGTCTGTTCATGTTGGCTGTTATGTTTCCTGTGAGTTACCTGTTAAGTCCTTGTGATCCCCTGTGGTTCATCAGTTTTGTAAGTTCTCCTGTTAATAAAGATTTTTTGCACTTCATTCCCATGTGTTGGCTCCATTTGGGTCCAGCCTTACCCGCACTGTGACACTTACTGTTACCATGGTCTGGTATGCCTGTATCTGGTGTGCTCCTATGGGTAATATCCAAGGATTAGAAACAAGTGACCTCTATTGTCGTTCATGTTGGAGAATGTGTTGTTGAATACATATATGACAAATGTTTTGCATTATTACTGTTTCCCTTGAGTGTTTTCTATTCCCTAGGCAATGAAATGAAGTAAGCAAGGGTGTCTACAGTCAGGATGTGAAGGAGCAGCTGACTGGCATGTGCTCAAGTTCATCTCAGAGACATTTGCTAAGAACATCCTACAAGAACATCCATCAAGGTTATGGACATTACCATAAAGAGCCCCTTGTCCTCTAAGCATCTGACAGAATTCTTGGACTACAGCATGCAGCATATCGTGAAGTTTCCTTAGCCAGGACGTCACCGCGAAGAGCCCCATGTCCTTAGAGCATCTCACTGAGCATCTCACTGAGCATCGGCGTCACTGAGAACAACATCCAGAGAAGTTTGGAAGGCTCCATCAGTTTGGCTCTCGGGTAATGTTATTGGACACACCTGGAAGGATTTTGCCTGAATTCATTGAAGCCATATCAAGAGAAGTCATTAATGAGGTTATTCTCCCTGAGAGATGTTCTCCACCACCACATCCAACACTGTTCTGGAAGCAGGCCTGCATCCACTCTGTGTAGTCAACCATCTTCAGCAAAGGTTACCAGACAACCCCAGAAACATTGTCCCATCTGTCTCAACCTGCCTCTGAGTCACAGGAGCAGTCTGGAAATTAATAAATTTTGACCTTGTAAATTGTTGTTCATGTGGAAATTTGAATTAATGAAACCACATTAAAAGGGTACAAGAATAGATAAGACCAGATCTAATAAGTAAGTTGTCCGATGTTCAGTTGCATAGAATAGACAGTCACAAACACTATGAAGGCTTCATGATACATCGTCTTAGTCAGAAGTCAGAGGCAGCTGGACTTGTTTAATCATTAAGATGTTTCATCACCCTTCCAAGAAGGAGCATGAGAATCCCTGTATTTCCAATGTTGTGCTTCATGAGTTGTGAGGTGAAGAAGCCTCTTCTGGATCAAACAAGTCATAGCTGTCCTTGATTTTAAGAGGTCACCTGATGCCACTGAACTGTAGACTTTTATAATGACATCTGTGCTTTTTTTTTTTTTAAACTCCAAAAAGGATAAGGAGGAAGGAGAAGAGGGCTTCAACTGAGGAATGGACCAAACACCATCCTCTGTGGATACAGCTGTTACGCTGCAACTGTTGCCTTGACAACTAAAGATCGGGACCAGCTCCAGCAGCTGGCCTAGTAAAATCTCTCTCTCCTCTCTTCCCTTTCTTTAACCTCACACCCCACTTTCTTTCCCCCCTCTGCCCACCAACCCGCAACCCTTTTCTTTCTCCCAGTCGCTTTTATTTCTCTGTGCTTGAACTGAATATTTGAATATTATATGGTTCTAATGGTTTTGTTGGACACCTACATGATGAGCATGAACTGGACTTTCTCGGAAAATGTTATTCATAAAAGTGAAAGTATCACAGTATTTATTTTTTTATTTTACAATTTGATTCATTTATATCTTTTACACAATTTATCATTTGCAATTCATCTTTCTAATTATCTCTCAACACTTTGTGCTCCATAAGGAGTGCATACAGTATCCAACTACTACAACTACAATATACTTTATGTACTATTTTTCATTGACATTTAAAAAATACAATACTAATACAAAGGTTTGAATTCTAAGTAGTTAAGCTCAGCCTTGCAGGATGAAGCTGTAATGTAGTGCCTATAACGGCACGAGGCTGAGTCTCCAACTGAACCATTACAGCCGAGTCTAAAAATGTCCCAGGTGTACAATGCTAATTCGGGGACATACTCTTATGGCAGGTATTTACCATGCAGTGTTATTTTTTTCAGAATCAGTAAAGGAGGGATACAGTGCATGTGCTCCATAGGGAGGTGGGAGATCCACAGGTTGGGCTCCTGCTTGCTGTGGCATGGTGCTCCAGGTCGGTTGGTTTGGGTTCCCAAATGCTTCAAATGCAAAGCCAGCAGGAGCAGGTAGTTGTTTCAAAACAGGAACCTCAGGCAGGACAACTATAGGGAGTTTGATCTGAGGGTCAATAGCACATTTGATATCCAGCTGGATCTGTGAAAAAGAGTGGTGTTAAAGTTTTTATTTATTTTTTGGAAACTTTAATCTTATGTTTGTTAGGGGTCCCCTCTGGTTTACTGTAGCATTCCTTTTTCATGAGCTTGTTGAGTTTATTACTGCTTGCAGTTTCCTCGAGAAGGGTCTGGCTGCTGCCTGTAGCACCTTTAGCCACACCCACCTCATGGAACACCCTGACCCTGACCCAGCGGCCAACACAGCCTCTTTGGATGAGGGGCCATTCTATGTAGTGGGTGTTCCATGAGGGGCTAAAGGCCGAAGCTAGACCTTATTGGGGTTTCCTGTGGTGATTCTGTTGATGTGTGATCTGCCTTTTTATAAGCCCAGTCATTTTATGAACTCACAAAAAGGAAAATCTTTACTTTTCCCTTTTCAATATGTTAAGTACTAAGAATATCCCTAAAAGGGATTTGTTTATATCAGTTTTTTAGTTTTATATCATTGCTAACTGAAAAAGGAGGAAGACTGAACAGGAAGACATACAGTTTCCACAAGCTTCCTATCAGCAGGTATTTCAACAAAAAGATAAACATGAACATTAAAAACAGAGTGGCACAGAATGAGGAACTGCAGGATTACCTCCCACAGTCTAATGACCATAATGCAGTTTACCTTCAGCCTGTACTCCAGCTTGATGATGGAGCAGTTCAAGATGGAGGAAGCTAGTTCTCTGGGGATGGAGATCACCTTGGTCACAGTCTCTTTGCTAGAGGGTGCAACAGCCTCAATCTTCTCCTTAAGGATCTCGTTTGTGCAAACTCTCCTGCGACCCTGGGCAAAGAAACTCCTTTTCTCATACAGTATGAACTTGGGCTTCACTGAACGGCTTGAGCGGTTGCTGATTTCAGCTATGACTTGAAATGCCTCACCTGTAATATGAAGAAAGGAAAGTTAGTCATTTTCTGAATCATAGAATCAGGTCTTGATAGTTGTTACTATTTTGTATTAGGACAGTGGGAATGCAGGGGAGAATTACTACATACTACACAACTAGTGGCCAAGGCAACACAAAAGTAGATACATTGTTATCAGACACAGGAGAGACAGTACTTTCAAAGAGTAACTCAATACTAGACTGAAAAAGCAGTGTTTTACATCTGTCAACACTGACCTCTGTTGGAACCCAACCGTGAAACCATGATTTACTGACACACCCTGAACTACACATCTACATCACAATGGTAGGGTGAAAGACTACTGGAGGTCAACAAGTATTGATTTACAGCTGTAATGAGGAGCATTCATTGAAAGTACTATTAGTCAGTAGACAAGATATGTTACTATCTGCCATAATCCAAGGAGAGCACTCTTATGTAGATCCACTCATGCTGCACATGCTCAGTTAGACCCTCTTCTCAGCAGGAAGACAGAAGACACATTCAGCTGCTGCATTTACAGAAAAATAAATGTTTTGGAGGTATGAAAGTATTTTTTTCATGAGCTATATTTTTTCAAAAGTTTTTGAATCATTTTTTTGCTAACCTCATAGCCAGCGTGTGTCAAGGTCAGTGTTTCTAGCTCGCACATAATGTTCTGTCATGGCTGACAGGGTGCAGGAGCAACACGCTGTTGTAACTGTCCCCAAGCTAAGCAGCCATATCAAAAAACACAACACAACAGTATTTTCTCAATATTTTTAGTTCAAAATAGGCAATATATTATCCCATAGCACAATAGATGAAAAATAATTGCTCATTTTAATGCATAGGAGAATAAAAACAAGTTGTTTGGGGAATTATTTTATAAACCTCTCATGGTCTTATGTGTTTTGTTTATCATATGCAAAACAAAACTCAATAACTGTTCTCTGATAAATATTGCTGAATAAATAAAACTAATATTGTAAAACAATGTATATTTTCAGAAAACTATGCTTATTGAGACAAAAAAGTAATTAGCAAAATTTTATGTATGTATAATATGTTGCAACCATCCCTGATCGGTGCTGCAACACTGTCCCCAGGGTTGGGGACAGTGCAATATCTGAATTCTTCTATTCAAATAAATATTGCGAATGACATGCCATATGTACTCATCTATAAATGGTATGTGTAATTAGTTCACCGATGTAAGTTTAATCATCTACAAACTAATAGGCCTACTGTATTATCGAATCTGCTAAAAATCTGTTCAATTATAAAAATGATTAAAAACCATTAATATACAATCACATACAATATGATTCACTCAGTCTGTAATGTTCTTTTCACACAGGTTTTTTCTTTTAACAGAGGACAGAGGAGAGCTTTACCAGTGATCCCGTAAACCTAAAATGTGACTTGTGATAGTCAATACAGGCACAATCCCTCACTGCTGTTACACACAGTGTGGCCTGAGTTCCTTTAAGGTCCAGCTTCATCAACATTAGCTGTGCCTTCAAGTTCCCAGCAAGTCCAGTGTACACTGATAAATTGTTGGTGGGCTGGGCAGATGAATGCACCCACTCAGGGTGCTACTAATCATTCACATCATGACTTCAATCACTATCAGTTTCAAACAGGTTTGACCAGGTCTGGCATCTCTGAACAGATTTCTGGCACGTCCTGCTGGTTGCCACTATTTCCCTTAAGTACTCAGGGCCTCTATGACAGGAACTAAATAGAAATATTTCAGCAACTGGAGGGACAAGGGTTGTTACAATGTCATCTTCTTATCATGACTTACATACAGCTCATTCATTAATCAGCAGTGTTAAGATGGAGATGAGGAAAGACCACAGGAAAAATTTGCATCTTTCTTGAAGTATGAAGCTTCTGCACTATCAAAGAACAAGGTTCTCTTCTATCAGCATCAAATCATTCTCATGACCCAGTCCAGAGAGTGGTCTCTGGTAGAGCAGAAGCATTTTCACATGGCCCTCAGTGGATTAGTTACACAGGTTTCCTGTCTTCATGTAGGTTAGATAGCAGTGACGTGTAAGGGAGAAGAAGTGTTACTAAAGAAGAGCTTGCAATTGATTTGTCTGTCACAGTTCTGCATCTCAGGTCACCTGCCTCACTTCAGCATTCCCTTTCATCCAGCTCGCATTCAGTAATTTTCCTTTCACCCTGTTCTCCCGCACCTCCCTGCATTAGCCACTGCCATCTCGTCAAGCCAACTCCATTCACCTGGTCACACAGCTGCTCCTGTTGTACCAGGAAGATTTCTAAGTTTTTTTTTTTTTCCCCCATTAACCTGCCTGCTCCAGTTTCTGCCTTGGTAGAAATAAAAGTCTCTACAAACTGTTTTTGTTGTACTGTGTGCTGCATTTGTGTCCTACACACACCCCTTACAGTGTCCTTGATGGAACATGTAGGTAGTAGTAGTAGTAAACACTGTTCACTCAGCCAAACTTAATATACCTGCTCTTCAAAACAAGTGAGACAGATCTGTCCAGTAACTGGACAAGGAAAGACAGTGAATCAAAATCCTCCAGGTGAAGTATTGCCTCTATAGACTAGATTATTACCTTGCTTGTATCCCATCCGCTTGGTGTGAACATCCATTGAAACATTTCCTGAGCCAAAAAGTTTGACAGATTTGTCCTTGCTGCCATACTGAGGCTCCTGAAACAACAGATCCCCACCCTAGGTTAATGCAGGTAGATAATTGTCTCCTCTGCTTAGACAACATTTATTATATGAAAAAATGGTTGTATTTTGAAAGTTAAATTATTTCTTACCATAAGTCCAGGGATATCCATATCTGCTTTGGAAACAAATGTGAAGTGGACTTTGGCCGTTTTTGTCAGCTTCATTGATTGTTTAAGCTCTGCCCTCAACTTGTGAACGATTTTGCCTATGGAGGCTTTGAAGGATGATGGGATTTTTCTGTAAAGTAAAATAATATTAGAAAATGTAAATGACCCAAATACAAATAAGACATCAATCTAAAAGAAAGATTAAGTAAAGAGTAGGCACCTGTCAGGAATCTTGAAGGAAAAGGGAAATACGTGTCTTCCTTTACCAATGACTTCAGTGCCTGGAAAAGAATAACTTACTATAAGTTTTGAGTTACACAGTGTGGGGATAATGGCTTATCTAAAAGTCATTACATTTGGTACAATGTATCATACATGAATTATTGTATTAATTTAATACGTTACCATCTTGTCTCGCTTCCCTCAAGATATGATGTTTGACTTCATAATATTTCTCATCAGACCAGTAAACATGATGTTGATGTTGCCCGTAATGTTCATGCCAGCAAACCCGAGCTTTTCCTTTTGCCACAAAAATAAGTGATTGGATTTTAGTTTCTTTAGAAACCTCCACAATGATTCTTCCATTGATGGTATCTCCATTTGTGAAGGTGTTCTCGCTGTTGATGGCATCGTATTCAATTAAGAGGTTTTTGATGGTCATCCTCCAAAGAGAAATACACCGTGGAAAATCTAATTCTCCTGTAAAACCAAGAAGAAAACCAAGCCTACTAAAACCCTGGACGGTGCTGCTCGACACTGTTTATATGTGGTCTCAAGCATGCAACTCTTGTTAAACCTGTTTTTCTTGTAGCATTCCTGCTCCAACAGACACAGCCACACACGGTGACAGGAAGAAGCATTCATTGCTACACACCGCTGTTACTCAAAGATATGAAATGCAGTAGCTTGGATGCAACTGGATGGTAACAATCAAAGTAATGCACACACTGTTGTTAAGAATGAGTATGCTGTCCTGACAACCACCCCAGTGGGCGGAGGGTAACACCTGTTTTTAATCTAGGTTTGCGACTGTCACGTGCTGTGGCTTACTCAGTGCATCATGTGACATATTTTCCGATCATGACGTCAAGTAAATTTCCATTTACTGCACATATTGTATGACATAATGGGATTTTAGTCCAGAGAAAGTTACAGTAGAATTAAACTTTGCAATTGTGACAGCTAAGAATATTCACAGTATGGAAATGGAAATAATTTAGAAGAAAGGTTTCACTAGGTGATTTGTTTCATGACTCAACTGTACATAAACAATGTTACTGTGGATGATCCGCAGGTTTCAATGTAAACTGTATTCATTTGGAATTTTTGTGTAAATAAAAATACTATAATGGTCCGTTGTGTCCATTATTTAACACACCCATGAAATTTCTGGAAAGACAATGCTGCTGTTTTGTTCAAAAATATCATTAACATTTTGAGCACCACTAATGAAATTCCATCACTCATATTTTGGTGGCAACATATAGACATGTGACAAATTAAAAGAAAAAAACATAAAATGTATATAGGTTGCTATAGACCATATTAGCAGATAATGCTGGTGTCTAACAGTTTCACTCTGATCAGAAAGTTTTGAAAGAAAAACACAATTTTAGGAAACAAACTCAAACAAGATAGTGATGAAATGTCACTTTTCTATTCTTTTAATTCATTTCTCTGAAATATTGCCAAAATCTGTCAAAGGAGGATACATCCCATGAGCTTCATAGGGAGGAGGGGGGTCAAAAGGCTGGGGTGCTGCTGGTGGGGTTGTCTTCCCGAATGGTTCCAATCCAGAGTCAGAAGAGGTGGTGGCGGCGGCAGCGGCAGCAGCAGCAGCAGGTGGTGGTACCACAGCAGGAACCCGAGAGGCCGGCATGATGATTATGGGAAACTTGATCTCTGGGTCTAAAGCATATTTGACATCAAGGTAGACCTGTGGAAAACACAGCTGATGTAACATTGTTGGATTTTATTTGTTCTGCCTTATATCTCCAAAAAAAAAAAAAAAAACAGTACTTTATACATGCATCTGAGAACACGCAATGCTTGATTTGATATCTTTTGTTTCCCTGACAACAGACCAACTTATCTTTCAAGCATCAGGTTATACTGTATATTGACTGAGGATGTCATCTAACCAAACAATTATCACACATGTCCTAGATTTATCACTAATATCAGTCTTAGGCTTTGTGTTCACATTATGTTTTAATGAAGTGATTTAATAACTCTTGGCAAGTGTGATGTCTTTGCTCTACAAGATTAAAATTATGAGTTTACATGTTTTGCTATTGTCACAATTATTTGCATCCTGTGTGCACAACTGACCCCAAACACAATGAAAACAAACACCGTAAACAATGGGGAGATGGCTTCAAAAGGATCCGGCAGCTGAAGGATTTTAGTGTGTAAAGGCACAACACAGGCACTGCATTCAATACTGTGCTGTTAAGCATGCGTTTCAGAAAGCAGAGCGCTAGGAAACACTCATCTCCATAAAACATAACAGGAGCCAATATCCCTTCAGTTTTTATTTCCAATTTTGCTGCTACATAATTCAGAGATTAATGCTTCATACACAATTCTATTAGGAGCTCACATACCTAAAATTGTCAATTTTTCAGGAGACATTTTTTGTGCACAGTCACGTAAGACAGGCACACACACCTGTGTTGCCAGTCTCCTGGTCACAGAGCTGCTTACCCTGAGTCTGTACTCTACTTTGATGATGTTGCAGTTGAGGATGGAGGGCTCCATATCATGGGGGATGGTGATGACCCTTGTGACCTTTTTCGAAGCAGAAGGAGCGATGGCTGTTCCCACGTCTTTCAAGATATCTTTAGTTTCAAGTCTTCTTTCCCCATTTGCGAAGAAGCTGTGCTTTCTGTACACACAGTACTTGGGCTTGATTTCACGAGAGGACTTGTTGATAATGCGGACCACAACCTTTAATCCTTCTCCTGAGAGAGAGAAAAAGACCGGAAATGTCAAAACAATCCTTGACATGAGACTGGTAAGTGTCAATATCACTGAGGGCTTTCACCTTGAAAGAATCCTGTTTTTTCAATGTCTGCAGTCATGGTTACTGCGCCTGAGGTGAAAAGGTTAAATTTCTTCTCCATACTTTTGTGCTGAGGTGTCTGAAAGACAAGACTGATTAATGCAATACTGACAGAGAGAAAACACTTTAGCCTGGTGCCTAAAATCTCTATATGTCCAGCACAGGCTGGAGTCAATTCAACAGGTCTAGTGTTAGAATAAAATAACCATTAGATAATCACTAATAGGTACACACAACAAACATTTCAACTTCAGTGTATGGCCAAAGTGATTTTGCCAGTAAGACTGAGCATGTTGTGTGCATTTGTAAAGGTTGGGTTTGCTGAATGCCAATATTCAGTCCTGAGGCCTGTACTACAAAGCACGGTTGTTTTGGTTAGCAAGATAACTTTAGGTTCAGTCCTACGACAGTGGTTCACTTCTTACCAGGTAAGTCACCCTAGTAACTGATGCTAAACTCCTGTCCTACTCTGACACCAGTTAACTCCAGAGGATCAAATTAAAACCTGTGACTACTTGCAACCTAGATGGTTGCTATTTATTGTACCGTGAGTTTCCACAGATCTGGACAGCCTTGGACATGGAATAATTTGTAGAAAGACGAACTTATATCCATTGACAACTTTAGGTGTATCATAAAGTAGTTAATGAGACATGTACTTGTACATCAAGCTCAAATTGCTGTCGTGTCATAATTGTGGTATTTTATGTTTTATTTTAAGATGTGGTATGTTTGCATGGCCACTATCCTGGCCAGATCTCTCAAAGGTTTTTTTTTTTTTTTTTTTTTTTTTTTTTTTTTTTAAATAAATGGCAATGGGACTTCCTGGTAAAAAAAAATGGAAAAAAAAAAAAAAAAAAAAGAGCAGCAGACAAAACAATCCGTTTGCTGTTCCAGACCTTGCACGTGCCCGTATGGTTTTAAAAGCTTAACAGCTTCTAACAAATGCAGGAGGAGGTTCACACTAAATAATAATAAATTAATAACTATTATAGCTTCGTTTTACCTGAACAAAGATTCTTTAAACCTGACAGGTTTTCTGACAGTGTTGACACTTTTACTCTCTTCATCACTGCAGCTCAAAATAAATTGAGGAAACTGACCATAACTGGAAATAAAAACTAAACACTGATGTCTTTTATTAGAAAAATTATCCACACACTAAAATATTTCTCATGATTAGAAATGAACATTTCAGTCATATTGACCTTATCAGACGTGAACTACTTCTTGCTCTGGCATCAAACAGTCTGACATTGACTTTTTTCCCCCCTGCATCACATGTTCATAACCAGCTTCTTAGTACAGGTTATCAGGATGGCCAATGTCAAGTTAAATTAAGAGATTACAAAAAGTTTTCCGGCTGAACTTGCTTCATAGTATAGATTGCTCAACACACCTCCATGCAGGTAGTAAACCAGGGCTGGCCATCACCAACCCTAGCAGATTTTTTGTCTGTTTTGGAATGACAGGAATGAAGATGTAATTAAGCACATACCTTTATCCCAGGGACACTGACAAGGTCCGCTTTGGACACAACGTTGATTTTAGTCGAATCTTTACTGGTAAACCATGTTGATCTGCTCACCTTGGCTTCCAGCAAGTACACAATCTTACCATTGGAACCAGTGAAGGAGCAGGGCACATCCCTAAAGCACGAGAGAAGCAGGCCAGAGGAACATGGGAAATTGATTGCAATCTATCAAATGAATATAGGCTATGGTAAGTCTATGATATAATTGTGTGTTTTTAAAATCAATCAAATCTATCAAAATAAACTAGAGCTGCAAAGAGGTTACACCATTAAGATGTTCTTCAGAAGATAATATGCAAGTACCGTATTTTCATGTCTGGAGAGGATAAGGGCCTGTCTGCTCTAATTCATTATAGAACCATTAAAAAAAAAAAAAGAACTTACTGGGAAGGGATCTGAAATTTGAATGGGTAGACATGGCGTCCTGGGGCAACAACACAGCTGTCTGAAAAAGGAAAGGCAAAAGAAGATAATGTGCTGACATGTTTGGGGCTGGGGGCACTTGTCACGGTGCGGGTAAGGCTGGACCCAAATGCAGCCAACAAATGGGGATGAAGTGCAAAATTGTTTATTAATGGAAGACTTACGAAACTGGTCAACCAACAGAACAGGGACCAGTGGACAGGAGGGAAAGCAACCGGGAAAGAGACTGGGACAACAGGGGCAGAGCAGAGCATCCATCGATGCTAAGGGGGAAAACAGGGCAACTCAGGGGGATGGCCCGGAGGCCCCACGGACAGGCTGGGCAGTTCAGTGGGGCGACCCAGAGGTCGGGCAAACTGACGGAACGGACGGACTGCGAAGACCGAGCCCCTCCGGAGGTTTAGTCGGAGGCCGGTGTGCAGGCGGGGTCTCTCCGGAGGTCGAGCCGGAGAACGGTGTGCAGGCGGAGCCCCTCTGGAAGGCGAGCAGGAGGCTGGCGGCCAAGACTGGGTCTCTCCGGAGGTCGAGCCGGACAGCAACCGGGCAAAGGAAGGAGACTGGGCAGAGCAGAGCAGAGCAGAGCATCCACCGATGCAAAACAGGGCAACTCAGGGGGACGGCCTGGAGGCCTCACGGGCAGGCTGGGCAGTTCAGTGGGGCGACCCAGAGGTCTGGCAAACGGACGGAACATTCCCGGGCGGCCGACGGCGAAGACCGAGCCCCTCCGGAGGTTTAGCCGGAGGCCGGTGTGCAGGCGGGGTCTCACCAAAGGTCGAGCCGGAGGACTGCGGCCAAGACCGGGTCTCTCCGGAGGTCGAGCCGGACAGCAACCGGGCAAGGGAAGGAGACTGGGCAGAGCAGAGCATCCACCGATGCTAAGGGGCAAAACAGGGCGACTCAGGGGGACGGCCTGGGGGCCTCACGGGCAGGCTGGGAAGTTCAGTGGGGCGACCCAGAGGTCGGGCAAACGGACGGAACATTCCCGGGGGGCCGACCGCGAAGACCGAGCCCCTCCGGAGGTTTAGCCGGAGGCCGGTGTGCAGGCGGGGTCTCACCGGATGTCGAGCCGGAGAACGGTGCTGCAGGCGGAGCCCCTCTGGAAGGCGAAGCAGGAGCTGACGGCCAAGACGGTCTCGCCGATGTCCGAGAGGAGGCTGACGGCCAAGACCGGGTCTCGCCGGATGTCGAGCAGGAGGCTGACGGCCAAGACCGGGTCTCTCCGGATGTCGAGCCGGAGGCCGATGTGCAGGCGGGGTCTCTCCGGAGGTCGAGCCGGAGAACGGTATGCAGGCGGAGCCCCTCTGGAAGGCGAGCAGGAGGCTGGCGGCGAAGACTGGAGGAAGCCTGGAGGCCTCACGGGAAGGCTGGGCAGTTCAGTGGGGCGACCCAGAGGTCGGGCAAACGGACGGAACATTCCCGGGGGGCCGACCGCGAAGACCGAGCCCCTCCGGAGGTTTAGCCGGAGGCCGGTGTGCAGGCGGGGTCTCACCGGAGGTCGCGGCCAAGACCGGGTCTCTCCGGATGTCGAGCCGGAGGCCGGTGTGCAGGCGGAGCCCCTCTGGACGGCGAGCAGGAGGCTGGCGGCGAAGACTGGGTCTCTCCGGAGGTCGAGCCGGACAGCAACCGGGCAAGGGAAGGAGACTGGGCAGAGCAGAGCATCCACCAATGCTAAGTGGAAAAACAGGGCGACTCAGGGGGAGGGCCGTACAGCAACCGGGCAAGGGAAGGAGACTGGGCAGAGCAGAGCATCCACCGATGCTAAGGGGCAAAACGGGGCAACTCAGGGGGACGGCCCGGAGGCAAGCGGGAGGCCGGCGTCGTAGGTGGAGCTCCTCTAGAGGGTGACCAGGAGTTGACTGGGTAACAGGAGCAGGAGTCCACTGGGCCACCGACTGGACAAGAGGAGCAGGTGTCGGCCGGACCGCCGACAGGGAATCAGGAACTGGAGTCGGCAGGTCCACCGACAGGACACGGGGAGCAGGTATCGGCCGGACTACTGACTGGGAACCAGAATCAAGAGTCAGCTGGACCACCGGTAGGAGATCGGGAGCTGGAGTCCTGTCGGGCCGCCGACAGGACACAAGGAGCAGGATTCAGCCAGCCCGCCATCAGGACAGGAGGAGCAGGTGTCGACCGGACCACTGACTGGGGACCACCATCAGGTGTAGGAGCAGAGGTTCCGGATAGTGAGGTAGTTAGGGCTTTGGCTGGAAGCTGGGGACCGGGGACTGTGGCTTGGGCTGGAAGCGATGAACCTGGGGCTGAGGCTGACTTTCCATTTGGTGACGGCAGCCATTATATCCTCGCCTTCCGTGGCCACCACGGAACCCCGGAAAAATAGCCAGACGAGTTCCCTTGAAAGGTCCTCCAGAGTCAGACAGCGGGTCAGCCAGCGTGCAAAGAGACCTGACGTTCGACGGGGGCGCTGGCTGGAAGGATCGAGGCCCGGGCTGGGAGTTCTGGGGCTGAGGCTACTTGGGGAACCGGCGTATCCGTGGCCTGTGTTTCTTCCCAAGGGCTCCCTCCCCTAGATACCTCCCAGGGAAAGCTAGCCGGGTTTCCCAAAAGGGATACGGCTCAGGATCCGAGTCGATCAACCAGCGTGCAAAGGGGCCTGACGACCTACGGGGGTGCCGGCTGGGAGGATTGAGGCAACCTCAGAAAAAAGCCATGAAACTGGCGTATGCCACTGTGTCCATATTATGGTCGGTTCCTTCTGGGACGGTGCAGGAAAGGCTGGGCCCAAATGCAGCCAACACATGGGGATGAACTGCAAAATTGTTTATTGATGGAAGACTTACGGAACTGGTGAACCAACAGAACAGGAAACCGAAGCACGAGGGCACACAAGGAACAACAACCGGAGACACATAACAACAGATAACAACAGCCGATATGAACAACGAGGCAAGGGTGATTGAACACAGGTGAAACACATTAGGGCGGGGCAGACAATCACCAAACAGAAATATGACCAAGACAGGAAGTAAAAACATCGAGACACACAAGGAAACCAACTACAAAATAAAACAGGAAGTCTAACATAAACAAAGTCTAACATAAAATGTCTGCCATGGCATACCATTACAGCACTTCCCTATCTGAATCAGAGCTGTTACGTGCAGCTATAGGTCAAGTATAATGAGTCATTAAAGAAGCTGGAAAAGTGTAACAGACTTCTTCATCAAGGTTCTAACAACTTTTTTAAAAGCTACTTAGTGGACAGCAAAGAGTAAATGTACAGTTGTGGCATTGGATTGTGATTGGATAATAGGATGGATGGTAAACACATGGCCCCTCAGATAACTCCAGCTGTTAATATGCACTAGAAACCTGTTTCAAGCTACTCACACCTGAATTAAAACCACAACAGTTTTGTGTCATAAAAACACACCAAAGCCACACCAGAGGCCGAGACAGAACAGTGGAATACAGTACTTACATGTTTTTCTAGGGTGGGCTGTCACAAGTGTTTGCTGGTAATTTCCTGCAGAAAAAAACAGCACACTGGTTAATGTTTGTCACTTAAGATAGAAAAATATTGCCATAAACAGCTTTATAAATGACTAATCTGCAGATTATTTTCTTGACTAATCTAACAACAACAATAATAATAGTAATCTAAACTGGCCTTAAAAAATGTCTGGCAAATGGCTAATCAAATAGCAGCAGGACATCTGACTGGCCTCCTGTTGTATTGGCAAGCATGGGTCTTTGTTTGTCTTTTACAAACCCAGCTTGCTTGAATGACTGTCGCCCTGTATCCCTCACTCCAGTAGTCATGAAATGCTTTGAGTGGCTTGCTATGCAGCACATCAGGACACGCCTCCCCGCCAACCTAGCGGAGGGCGAGTGAACCTTTCGTTGAGGCAGGAGTGTGAATCAGAGTAACCAGAAGTACTGGCAGTAACAGACTGAGGACTGATGCTGGGGCTCTATCTCAGGCTCTATTTCTTACTCAGGCTGTAATGCATGGCAGTAACATCCAGGTAGTATCTTCATATTCCACAGGGCCGGCAGCATACTGTGTCTTACTTAAAATTAACAGCCAGTTCTGACAGCAATGAATATGTGGTATTCAACTACCAAGTTCTTACAATTACAACTGGACTGGACTGACTAGCAGCAACATCCATCCATCCATTTTCTTCCACTTATCCAGGGTTGGGTTGCGATGGTAGTAGGCTAAGCAGGGCATTCCAGACATCCCTCTCTCCATCAACACTTTCCAGCTCCTCCCAGGGGATCACAAGGCGTTCCCAGGCCAGATGGGATGTATAGTCCCTCAAGCGAGTTCTGGATCTACCCTGGGCTCTTCTCCCAATTGGACTCCCAGTTCTTCCAGTTGGACATGACCACCAGTTACCACCACCCCAGTCTGCCACTTCACAGGTTCTGTTCCAACCTCCACGCAACATTGAAGAGATGTGTCAGCCATGACAGCCCAAGGATGTCCAAAGCCTTCAGTCTCTCAGGGCAAATCTCATCCACACCTGACATCTTGCTGCCAAGGGTTAGGGTTAACCCTCTGCCAGGGCTATGGATGATGCTTCCTCCGAATCTTCAGACTCTCCTCCTCCACAGAGGACGTGTTAGCCAGGTTCAGGAGCTCCTCAAAGTGTTCTTTTCACCACCCAACAACATCACCAGACCGGGTCAGCAGTTCTCCGATCTCTCTCTCTCATATACGCACACACACAAGCACACTGACAACGAAGCTGTCTGTCGGATTGGCTAAAAACAACAACGCATAGTTGTTTAATTGCATGTCAAGCAGGGAAGTGATATCAGATCACAAGTTGTCAATTGAGACACAAGTGGAGATGCATTTTAAAGCCAGGTGTGAAATGACATGCTTAGAGTTGACCACTTATGATTGGATAACTGAAGACATGTTAATGCTGGGCCTGTCCAGGGCCTAACTGATGAATAGGTCCCTGGGTGGGTTTCACACCCAGATGTGAAAGGTGAAGAATTGTGAGGGAGTGAGTTCAAATAGCCTGGGGTCTCCACCATCTTGAATAGGCTGAGGCCCAACAACTTCAAACTGCATTATGCATTGTTGACCGGCTGCAGTATGGTAGTAGCAGTAGTGGAGTTGGTGATGAGCAGTGGTGAATCTGAATCAGTAAGTATTTATAGTCTAAAGGTTTCAAATGTCAGAAATGAAAATGTCTTTGATATTAAATTTCACTTACTAACTAACTTTCATTACAGTGGCTAAGAGTGCTAACTTGGGAGGTGAAAATTGAGGTGAGGTTACACACAAAAAGTACTGATATTTGCAAAGTGAGTAATTAAGTAAACATAATGTCTGAGCTGCTTTGTTCACATGAAATCACTTGACAGATGACGAGTCCCTTTGAAATGGGTTGGAAAAAAGACACAGCCTCCTGTCCACTTCTGAACATTAAGGTCAGTGAAACTTGTATGAGCTCACTCTCCTATATAAACTATGATCACAACCAGCACGTCACTGAAAAGAAAATGTGTAAGTAATGACGTCCTAGTGAACAATCTTAAAGGACATAGCTCCAAAATCTCAGGTGAGATTTGAAAGTATCTCATAGCACATAGCTGGTTCAGAGTAGCACACAGGTTTTATACAAATCTTTTCCTGTAACATTTTCTTGATATTCCATCATGTCAAGATTTATATTAATTTTTAAACAATACTTGTTGAAAATCAGAGAAGAAACATAACACAAGTCTCAGGCTAAGTTATATCTGCAAACACTTTCTGGAGAGTCAAGCTCTTTATGTACAGTACATATGTGTGTGCATACGTGTGCATGAGACAATAGAGACAGAGAACATTTACACGTTATTTTGGCCATCTAATAAAAAAATGTCTCTACCAAAGATAAAAACCAAACTTATGCCCTTGTTTGGAAAATTCACAAATTTTTAAAGATCCTCGGCAAAGTAGCCAACCCATGCCAAACTCTTTAACACATAAAATAACATTTAAACTCTATACATTACAGCTTCCATTCAAATATGAAATCCCTCCTACCTGTGAGAGTTTTATCTCGGATGAAGTAATGTTTCAGGCTGAAGTACTTCTGCTTGGAGTGGTAAACAACAGTACCATAGCCTTGCCTCTCTGTCCAGTTCACCTCAGCTTTCCCTTTGAACTTAATGAACAGGTAGTTTATCTGGCAGTCTTTGGCCACCTCCAGAGTGACTTGACCAGAAACCCAGTCGCCATTGGTAAAAATGTCTTTCCCATTAACGGAGTTATAGGTGACTTTGAAGTTCTTCACAGTAAACATGACACATGGCACTAAGAAATATTGAAAGAACTGAAGATCGACCACCTCTGACTTCCTCGACAGGTGTGTCTGAAATTTAAGGGGGGATCAGGTTTATTTCCATGATATTGCCTCCTCCCCTCATTATTCATTCATTCAGCAATCTGCATAAAATCAGCATGTCTGCGGCGTATTACTAAAACAAAGCCTGAACATTATCAGCTTCATAACAATAGTAGTATTGTGGAATCCAGTGGGTGTGGCTGAAACTGGCCACAGCCATGATTATCAAAATCCCCGATAATAGTGTATAGAGGTTTAAATCATTGATATTTTCAAAAGGTAAAGGATGTTTTTATACTTTAGAGAAACTACATTACAGATTACAGCAGATTAAAAGTCACACCATAAGTACTGATATTTGCAAAGGGAGTAATTTGTTTAACAAGTAAACATAATGCCTGAGCTGCTAGTCAGACTGATATGATTGACTGAAATAGATATGGAACGAATGGAAAATACATGTCTCTGTGTGGTACTATGTGATCTCTAGAATAAGATATTTGATTATAGAGCTATATATAATGCTTATTCATATTTATTGCATAAACAAACATATACATTTCATGACAAGATTTCAGTATTCCTCATTAAGCACAACCTATTCAACCTGTTCTCCCGCACCTCCCTTTATTAGCCACTGCCATCTCGTCAAGCCAACTCCATTCACCTGGTCACACAGCTGCTCCTGATTACACTCACCCACTATACAAACCCCAGACTTCCAGTCATTCTTTGCCAGATTGTTCTTCACTCTTCTCCATGCAAGACTCGCCGGCATTTCTTGGAATTGAGCTGATTTCCCGTTGTTGAACCTGTTTGTCCCTGACTAGCCTTTCTTGTATGAACCATGATAAACACGCCATGGTGGTTCACCTGGTAGAGAGCGTACCACGAAGGCTTGGTCCTAACTGCAGCAGCAATTTGTAGCATGTCACCCCCCCTTTCACCTTCTCTCTCTCATTGCAACGGTTGGATTAAAGGCAACCACCAAGAACTGCTTTTGTGACTTTGGACTTAGTCTGCATGTTCCTGTGTTTAGGAAGATTTAAGTTGTTTTTTTTTTATTAACCTGCCTGCTCCAGTTTCTGCCTTGGTAAATAAAAGGTCTCTACAAACTGTTTTTGTTGTACTGTGTGCTGCATTTGTGTCCTACACAGGCCTGTTAGTGTCTTTGACGGAACATGTAGGTAGTAGTAGTAAACACTGTTCACTCAGCCAAACTTAATATACCTGCTCTTCAAAACAAGTGAGACAGATCTGTCCAGTAACTGGACAAGGAAAGACAGTGAATCAAAATCCTCCAGGTGAAGGTGATTATTACTATCTGCATGGCCAGATTTTTCTTACAGACCCATCAAACAATTTGTTTTTGTTGTTTTGTTCTGTTTTTGATTGTCTGATAAAATTAGTGATTTCCAACTTCAAAACCAAATAACAGTCTGCAAGTTTATTTCCAAAGTATTTAATTGCTTTTAGTACCTGCTGTTTACAATCTTGAAATATGCAGGATTCATATATAACAACTGTGAAAAGATATATAAATGACTATGCGAGGACATTTTCATGCAACTTAATTCACGTTTAATAAATTCCTTTCCAGTCACAGATCATACAGAAAAAAACACTGTCTGAAACAGGAGAGCTATTAGATTTTAAGTTTATAAAATATATCTACCAGTTTTTCAACAATCTTAACAGTCCAGAGTTCATTCATGGAGAGCCTCATAGACTCTTAGAGAGGATAAAACCTGAGGTATATGAAACTGTGGAAGGACCACTTTTCTTCTCTACTATTTGTTTTACAGGTTATTTTGGAAATAATGCAACACATTTTATCACTACTGCATAATACACATAATACCTAACAGTATCACTCTTATCAGAAAATCTCATTTTAGAAAACAAACACCCTCAACCACAAGATAATGATGAAATGTATTTCATTTCTTTGAAATGTCCAAGTATCGTCACAGTCTTCACAGTTACTGATATTTGTTGCCAAAATCTGTCAAAGGAGGATACATCCCATGTGCTCCATAGGGAGGAGGGGGGTCAAAAGACTGGGGTGCCGCTGGTGGTTGTGGTGGAGCAATGCCCCAGGCTGGTGGGTTTGTGTTCCCGAACGGTTCAAATCCAAAGTCAGAAAAGGCAGCAGCAGCAGGTGGTGGCGCCACAGCAGGAACCCGAGAGGCCGGCAGGATGATTATGGGAAATTTGATCTCTGGGTCTGAAGCATATTTGACATCGAGGTAGACCTGTGGAAAACACAGCTGGTGTTACGTTGTTGGATTTTATTTGTTCTGTTTCATATCGCCAGAAAATTTGGGACACACAGTGTCATCATGTGATTGAGAACACACAGCTAATTCTTGATTTGATTTTTTCAGTTCTCTTATGACAGATCAAATTATCTTTCCAGCATCAAAATACTTTTTCGGGAGACATGATATTTTTTGTGCACAGTCACGTAATAGAACAGGCACACACACCTGTGTTGCCAGTCTCCTGGTCACAGAGCTGCTTACCCTGAGTCTGTACTCTACTTTGATGATGTTGCAGTTGAGGATGGAGGGCTCCATATCATGGGGGATGGTGATGACCCTTGTGACCTTTGTGTTGGCAGAAGGAGGGATGGGTTCTCCCACCTCTTTAAGGAGGTCTATAGTGTGTAATCTTCTCTTCCCTCTTGCAAAGAAGCTGTGCTTTTTGTACACGCAGTACTTGGGCTTGATTTCACGAGAGGAATTGTTCTGAATGCAGGCAAGTACCTTCAATCCTTCTCCTGACAAAAAAAGACAAGAAATGTCAAAACAATCCTTGGCATGAGACTGGTAAGTGTCAGTATTGCTATGAGGGCTCTCACCTTGGAAGAATCCTGTTTTTTCAATGTCTACATCCATGGATACTGCTCCTGAGGTGAAAATTTTCAATTTCTTATCCTTAGACTCGTGCTGTGGTGTCTGAAAGAACAGATTCATTAACACAATACTTTTAAACAACAGAGAGAAAATACTTGTGCTTCAAATCTATCTATATGTCCAGCAAATGCCTGAGTAAATTCAACAGGTCTAATGTTAAAATAAAATAACCATTAGATAATATCTCTGACACGTACACAATAATAAAAAAATAAAAAAACATTTAAATTTCACTATATGGCCAAAGAGTGTAGTTTTGCCAGTGAGACTGAGCACGCTGTGTGAATTTGTAAACCACGTGTTTACAGGTTGGGTTTGCTGAATGCAAATACTCAGCAAATAACCAGTCCTGATTTAACATTGCTCAACACACCTCCATGCAGGTAGTAAATACGGCTGGATTTTAGTTACTCAACTGCCATCACCAACCCCAGCAAATGTTATTCTCCTTTTTGGAATGACAGCAATGTGATTAAGCACATACCATTATCCCAGGGACACTAGCGGGGTCTGCATTTGACATAAAGTTGATCTTAGTCGAATCTCTAGTGGCAATCCTCATTGATCTGCTCAGCTTGGCTTCCAGCAAGTACACAATCTTACCGGCGCTACCAGTGAAGGAGCAGGGCATATCCCTAAAGCAGAGGAACATGAGAAATTGATTGCAAGCAAAGGAATTTACAGTAGGTCTATTAAAAATAAAAGTACCTTTTCAAAATAACTTTATTAAATCTATTGTATTAAAATAAACTACAGCTGCAAAACCTGGGGTTACTCCATTAAGGTGTTTTTCAGAAGATAATACGCAAGTACCGTATTTTCATGTCTGGAGAGGATTAGGGTTTGACTGCTCTAATTCATTAAGAAACCATTAAAAATGATAACTTACTGGAAAGGGATCTGAAAGTTGAATGGGTAGACATGGCATCCTGGGGCAACAACACTGCTGTCTGAAAAAGTAAAAAGAAATTGGTAACAAAGATGATGTTCTTCCATGTTTATTTTACAACCCTTATAAATTTTCAACTGTTTGCTAGCCTTTTGGATGTAGTGGGATTTGGGGCTGTGGGCACGATGATCTGATCAGAGCTGTTACTCGATGACCACCTCCGCAGCAAGGGCTCCTTAATTGACAGCAGAGAATAAACTTACACTTGTGGCACACTGTTAATGGCTTTTGGGTTTGTGATAATACAACAGGGTGAATGGTCAACACAGTATTAACCCCTTAGCTCACTGGAGCTGTTAATATGCACCAGAAACCTGTTTTAAGCCACTCTTAACTGAATTAAAACCCCATCACGGTATCTTTTTGCATAATAAAAACACAACTGAGCCACACCAAAGGCCGAGACATAACTGTGAAATACTTACATGTGTCTCCATGCTGGGTTGTCATAAGTGTTTCGTTGTCATTTCCTGAAGAAAAAGCATTACACTGAGTTAACCGCAATTAACATTTGTCGCTTAAAAATTATCGTCATTAATGGCTTTTTTAAATGACCAAAGTGCAGATTATTTTCTTACTTAATCTACTAAGAGTTGACTGACAAATGACTTCATTGACTTAAAACTGCATTATTGCAGATACACATTATAGTTTAAAAGTTTCAAATGTCACAGAATTGAAAACGTCTTTGAACGTCTTTTGAATTTAAATTTCAATGGCTTAGTGTTTGATAATTAGTGAGGCAAAAATGCCCAAAGCAAAAGATGTCCGGAAAAAGAACAACTGAAGTGTAAGTAACAGCTGAGCACTAATAAGAAAGTTCTGTAATCAATCCAAACATGTATCTTCTTTTAAATTAATGGAGAGGATATTTATTATTGAATGCCCCCTTCCCCTTTCCCTGAGTGCCTCAAGAGCAGAGTTATTACAGCATATGGGTTAACGAGACATGAACATTATTTATAAGGTAAATAAGCCACAGTTTGTTCAACTGGTTTATTTGTTTATGCCAGACATAATTTTATTCTGAAAATCCTCTTAGCAGCAGCCAGAGCAACAGGGACAGGTGAGCTGCAGGCTCTCAGGTGATCTCTGATGTCCATCTTGCCATAAATTCAGGAGCTAATTAAAGAATAATACAAGAATACGTTTTTTTGTTTTAATCATAGATGAGTTTGAGCATTGATGTGGTGCTGCAGAATCTCAGGTGAGATTTGTATGGATCTCACAGCACAGCTGGTTCAGAGTATCACACCACCTGCATGGTTTTATAGATTCATTTTCTTGTAACAACTTGAAAATCAATCATGTCAAGATTTATATATTATTTAACAATGTATAGTAGAGTTAGAGTTAGAGTAAACTTTATTGTCACCAAAGGGAAATTTGTCTTGGGCACAGTGCTACAATCCGTTGCTTAAAATAGGATAACAACATCACAGAAACACAAACAATTTGACAAAAGCTAGACCATGGCTTCACACAAAACATCCCAAAAACATGAGGAAACATCTAGCTATACATTTCACACTGACAACACAAAACCACAACACAATGACATAAAAACGTATAACGAATAAAACGAATAAAAATGCAAAAGCATGAGACAATGGAGACGCAGAAAATGTGTGCATCTTATTTAGGCTATTTGATGAAAAAAATATATATGGAGAGAAAAAAACCAAACCTACGCCCTTATTTTGAAAATTCCTGAAATTCCTTAAAACTTCTGTAAAATAGCCAACCCGCGAAAAATGCTTTAACACAGAACATCACAAGCACGGAGGCCAGGGTTACACGGTTTAGTATAACGTTACAGCCTTCGTTCAAATATGAAATGCCTCCTACCTGTGAGATTTTTATCTCGGATGAAGTAATGTTTCAGGCTGAAGTACTTGTCCTTGGAGTGATAAACAACAGTCGTTTTTCCGTGCCTCTCGGTCCACAACACCTCGGCTTTCCCTTTGAACTTTATGAACAGGGAGTTTATCTGGCAGTCTTTGGACACCTCCAGAGTGACCTGACCAGAAACCCAGTCGCCATTGGTAAAAGTTTCTTTCCCATTAACGGGATTATAAGTAACTTTCAAGCTCTTCACGGTGGTCGACATGGTCGGCGGTGACGCTAACGAAAAAAACAAACACACAACGAGATCTACCTTCTCTTACTTCCTCGATAGGCGTGTCCTAACTTTGAGGAAGAATCGTGTTTGTTTCAGCGATATTGCCTCCTCCCTTCATTATTCATATATTCACTCATTCATGTATCTATTCTATTCAAGGACGCTTGTTTCCCTGTCTGTCTTGTTGTTAGACAACCGATCTCAAAGAGCATGAGTATGATACACGTGATACAGAGGACAGCTGAGCATGTGTATCCCTCAATTTAGTATTACTCTCCGTAATACTATAGCTTACTGCTGCACTAAATGCTTTCTATAGCAAGTGCTGTCATTAGCTATAAGTTTGATATCTTGAGAAAGACGTTATTGTGATGCATTTTTAAATGTATTCACATCATATCTAAATCATCTAATCTACTTGATTTGGTTCTACAGCAGATGATATTAGGACCTGATCATTTTCATTTTCAAGGGAACACTGATAATACTGGTGATATTTCATCTGCTCCAATAGATATCAATGAGCATGTGCAGCATTTAGAAGCTGAGAAATTGAGGAGCTGTCAAAAATTACCATAATTCCATCAACATTTCTGTGTTCACTGTGTCAACAAAACCCGAACATGATCAGCTTCATAACGGTAGGATGTAGTGTGGAATCCAGTGCGATGATAATCTTTCACTGTAAATGGGGAGAGATACTTGTCCTCATTTAATCACTGTTTTTATGAGATATCATAGTTTATAGAAAAAGATTATCATTATATGTGTTATAATTATGAAAAAGCATCAGTTGTATGTAACAATAGTAACTTATTGTTACTATACAGCCTTACCCACCAACTATCTTACTAATGCATTATGGATCAATAGATTTACATTGTTGATATTTTCAAAAAGTGAAGGACGTTTTTATACTTTAGAAAAACGACTTTACAAGTTACTGCAGTATAGTTAATGTGAAAAGTCACACAATAAGTACTGATGATGGCAAAGTGAGTAATGTGTTTAACAAGTAAACATAATGTCTCAGCTCCTTTGTTGCTCCTTTTGAACTGGGTTGAAATGGGTTGGGGAAAAAAACAAAGCCTCCTGCACGCTTTTGAACATTAAGGTGAGTGAAACTTGTAATTAGCTCACTCTTATGAAATATGATCACAAACGGCACGTGACTCATTTTCCATTGGAAAAAAAATATTTTGTGACAGAAGGTTTATCTCTAGGTTTGAGATGTTTATATTGTAATGAACCATTATTAACAATATTTCATAACAATTATAAATAAGAGTAATTTATGTCCTCATAGAGATGCTTGACACAAGGTGAAGTTTATTTGTTGTTATTTGATTGTCACGCAAATCCATACGTAATGTCATATCATAGTTTTCAAATTAGACATTGGTCGTTGTTCTCCTGTTGTCAGCCTGATATGATGATTGAAATAGATATGGAACGAATGGGAAATACATTTTCCCTGTGTGGTACTATGTGATCTCTGGAATAAGAGATTTGATTATGGAGCTATGGATAATGCTTATTCATATTTATTGATATTTGAAAAAAAGCTAACATAAGCAAACATGTATAGTTTATGACATACTTTCACATTCAAGATTTCAGTATTCCTCATCAAGCACAACACCATGAACCTAAGTGAACAAAGTCATCATTGGTAATCACATTCTCCCAGTGATACAGGAGCTGATCAATGATACAAGGGTCACTATACAGAGTAAAGGTTGAGACTGGACTAACAACCTTCAACTTAACATCAGAGACCCAGTCCTACAAACATCACTGTAACACTGTTAAGTAATGCAGAACTATTATACTAATAATATTATATTTATAACATAAAGTTTTCTACTTTTTAGCCCCTAAAACAATCCACTATCTTCATTCCTACTCTTAAGATTCTCTTCAAGTCTTTCCAATGGCATCAGTCTTGCCATTTATCTGAATAAAAGGGTTTAAGCAAAGACTTGGTTAGTATTTAATAGTGGTAGTCCCAAACATAAAGTCATGTGTTGTACTGTTAATTAAAAAAAAGATCTGAGTGCACTCAAAAACCATATTTGAGCTTCTAGGATTTCCCATCAAAACCAGTCAAGGAGGGGTACATCCCATATGTGCTATAGGGTGGAGGTGGAGCAGAAGGGCCTGAGGCTGCTGGGTTTTGTAGAAAGCTGGTCCCTCCTGCCATGCCTGAGTTAACAAATGCTCCAAATCCAAAGTCAGAATATACAGGTGGCTGCTCTTCATCAGGCTCCTGTAAAGCGTGCAGGACGACTATGGGGAACTTGATCTCAGGGTCTGAAGCATACTTAACATCCAGATAGACCTGTGGTTGAGAAAGAGTCAGCACTTCTCATATCAATCCTTGAGCCCTGTTACCATAAAGACATGTACTGATATGTTTTGGAAAAGGAAATACGCACCCTGAGCCTGTACTCTGTTTTGATGATTTTGCAGTTTAAGATGGACACACAGGTGGTGGGGGGGACAGTGATGGTCCTGGTGACAGTCTGACCTGCAGAAGGTGGGATGGCTTCGCCCACTTCTTTCAGGATGTCTATGGTTTCGACTCTCCTCTTCCCCTTCGCAAAGTAGCTGATCTTCTTATACAAACAGTACTTGGGCTTAATGTCACGAGATGATTTGTTCTGAATGGAGGCCACAACCTTTATGCCTTCCCCTGGAGAGCAGAGCAACACTTTATACACAATGGTCTTACTCTCTGGTTGACGCCTACACACAAGTGATAGCAGTAATCTCTTACTGCATACAATATAGTTTACATTTTTAAGGTGTGCATATCAATATTACATAAGTCTGCTGTTTACACCTGCATAACTTGTAGAGATATGACAAATTAAAGTCACTTTATTGTTGAACTTTTTGACTAACAGCTCAGTAAAAATCCCTTAAAGATAGTCTGTGTAGTTTTTGCTAAACAGTTGCCTCTTTGGCTTCAAGTAGAAATTATGGAAAAATGACAAGTGTATTAATGTAGCACAACAGTAGCACAAATAGAAAGGGGTTACAAAGTCCACATCCTGACTAAGTCATATCTGTTATACCTATATATCTACTTTAACTTTGATAACATCTGCTTATATTACCACCATAAACTACTTGAAATAGAAAGAAAAAGTGAGATTATAGCAGCAAAACCCCTGAGTGAGTAAAGGTGCATGTTAGTATTTAGGAATTCAACTTTTAATTTGAATGAGAATGAATGTGCCATTACTTTCTTCTTTCAAAATTGATTGATTATTAATTTAACATTTCTTAACATTGCTTAGTGCGATTGGAAAGACCAATCTCTCTAAGCTAGAGAACATATTTGGACTACCTCTCTGCCGCTTTTATTCCTACATCTCATTTGTTGTTGTCTTATCTTTAGACCATAAAAAAAAGTTCCATTGACAGAGGAAAGAGACTTTGAACTAAACATGGTTCAACTGCGAAGAGTCGTTGTTAGATAATCTGTGGAGTATAATTCAATACCTTGGTGGAAGCCTGTTCGTGCAATATTTACATCCATGCCCACTGTTCCTGATGTAAAGAGCTTCATTTTCTTATCAATGATATTTTGCTGTGGAGCCTGAAATGACAATTTAGTCAAAGATAGTGTTAGTTGTCATTACTGCACCAGTGTCAAATGTAAACAGCAATTGTGATCTTGTGTGTGTGTGTTTGCTGTAAGATGGGTACCATCAACGATGGATCACTGTTTAGGTTTCCTTTGTGGACGAGGGTGAACTTCGCCTTAGCTTTGCTGTCTAATTTCATGGGCCTGCTCAGGTTTGCCTCCAGTGAGTACAGGATCTTTCCATGGGAGCCCTTGAAGGAGGATGGCAGCTCCCTGCAAGACATGACAACACCATGTACAAAACAGCCCAGACAACAATAATGCTCATTTATATTCTTTGTTTTATAGTAATTGTTTATTTATTTATTTATTTATTTTTTATAAGAATAACGTACTGTGCAGGAATCTGAAAGGTGAATGGGTAAACATGACAGCCCGGGCCAACAGTAATATTGCCTGAAATACAATGAAGCAAAGTGACTTAATGTGGCTTCCATCACTGATCATAGCATGGTTTGTAAAACTAACTATAAATGATTACAAAAGACATTATTAAGAACAAACCGTTCCTTCTATAACCATGTACAGCTTTCTATCAGTAAGGATGGGTCAAAATCAAGCTCATTAATAATCTCATTAAAGTCAAACCTTATGTCAGTCAGGGTCTTGATTTTTCTAAATCCCTCTGTATGAATATTTGTTTAAATGCAGACACTGGGATTTATTTAACCTCTAGTATTTGCTTAAAATTACCAAAAAAGATACCATCCTGTGTATTTTGTAAGTTAAAATACACCTATTATAGGTTAAAAAAAATTAGAAAAGACACTATTTTAGTTGAACAAAATGAGATGAGACAGAAACAGATAAAAATGAAAGGTGATATTTAAAACAAAAATGGTGAAAGAAACCCTCTATAGCAAAGCAATACATTCTTTAATAAAGAGAGCCATGTGAACACAATACACTATGAATAAAATAAATGTGATTACAGCAGGTTATTTCTACATTGAATGACATAAGTAGTGCACTTACCGTGGTCCTCCTGAATGAGAAACTGCTTGATACTGAAGTACTTCTCTTTGTTATGGTATGTTACACTTGTTTTTCCATAATTCTCAGTCCATTTGACTTCTGCTTTTCCCTTCAGCTTTACACTGAGTGAATATATTTTGCTGATGCTTGCCAGCTCTAAAGTAATCTGTCCTGTAAGGCGATCACCACTGGTGAAAATGTCGCTTTTGTTTATGGGATTATATCCCACTGAAAAACTCTTAACACTGTTTGCCATGATATACTGTGTGACCGCAAAGCAAAACTGTAGATACAAGACAAGAGTGTCAGGTGAGAAAGTGAAGACACAGACTTTATATCTTGTGAGGTGCGTCTCTGCATGCAGATAGACACTTTGGTTTTGGTAATAATTAAACCATTGGACTTCAATGAATCTCACTTACTAGCCTGATCCAGACTGGTAAACAAAGAAATACTGGCTGTCAGAATACAAAATGTTGCTCTGGGGACAGAAAATATCATATGCATGTTTCTTGCATAAATCAACACAGCGGGTAAACAATGCCATTTACAATGCATAAGTGCTGACAAGCTTTAATGGCAATATATGCTACTAGAAGCTACTGCTGGCCCTCATTATGTGGGTGTGTCCACTATGTTTCAAACACATTATGCAAAGATCATATGTTGCTGGAAATAATGAGCCAATAGAATCCAGGGGAGGAGCTTCAGTCCACCTGGTGTGTGTGTAAAGGTGTGGGGATAAGCATGGACGTGGGGGTGGGGAGGTGACATGTTACAAAGAGCAAGCAAGAAAGACAGAGGGAGAGAAGCCTGACGAGCCAGACCTCTACATGTTTATACATGTTTTTTCTTCTTTCTTTCTTTCTATCCATCTGTCTTCCAGTTTTTCTTCCCTCCTTTCTCATGATGTAATTTTTATTTTTTACGTTGAGGTGAGGTTTAACATAAGCCCTTGATGGGTTTCTTACCTCACCTGCACATTCTCTCATATACATATACAGTACTATATACAATGTATTTGTAATGTAATATGTTTGCGAATAAAAAAATCAAAAATGAAAAAACATGAAATCAGCTCCTCACAATGTAACCCTGCGTGCTGCTGTCCCCTACAGGAAAACAGATGGAATGCACCATAATTGCAACCAAAAAACCAGTTATAAAAGGGCACAAGCACTAAGAAATGAATAAAAATTTCAAAAAATTAAAAAACAAAACATACTAACATCAAAATGTAATTCCACTTCATTAAAAATATATATATAATAACCTCATGCTACTGCAATAGTGTGAGAAATTTGAAGAATACCTGAAAGCCCATCCCACAGAAAAAAAAACAAAACATTATGACACTTATGATTTTGGTGTGTGACATCAGAGAGAATGCAGCAAAAGAGATGAGAACAAGATGAGTGGCTGAGACTTGACCAAAACAAGAGGCACTGAGGTTCAAGTCAAGCAACATCTAAAGCTAGACATTATGCTCACCAACTATAGCTGTCAAGGTGTTAACTCGCTCTGGGTGGGAGCTAAATTCCAATTCTGTAAATTTGTTTCATATGTGAAACAACCACATTAAAATTTCAATTTTCACACAGCAGCAGTATGAAAGGAGCAGCATGAGGTGATGTGAACATACATTTGAATAAAATAATAAAACTTTAAACAAAAGTCTGTAAAAGAGTTAGTTGTGCGGAGCTGCTCTCAACCAGACATCTGAAGTTAGTGAATATTAACACACTGGCTCACTTGGAGTGAGTGCCGGCTGAATAACAAAGAGGAGACGGCTTTCCTCCAGGAAATTAAGCTGATCGTGTTTGCATTGATACATAATTAGGCTAAAAAGATTGAATTCAGCAGTGTTTTCTGTGCTGAAGGGAGAAAAAAGTAATTTGGTTCATGGTATTGAATCAGTTCAGCCAAGCATTCAGCTGTTTGCATGACAGGTCTTTGTCATCATCATCATCATCATCATCATCATCATCATCATCATCATCATCATTTAGAGCACACTTACCCGCACTGCGCCCAAACTTTTATTTTTGTCAGGTTATAGAGTAAAATACTTCTCTATACAGTTTACATGCAATACAGTTTGTACATGACAATAGTGTATATGTAACAAGACATGATGGAAGTTGAGATGATAAATAATAATAAAAACATACATAACACATACTTACAATAATATAGTTAAAATCACTTTGCTCATTACAGTTAAGAGTCAATGCATGATCATGATACTATTTTTTATGGCATTAAGTGGTAATATTTTATATTAGATGAATTTCCCCTAGGGGATAAATACAGTATCTATCTATCTATCTATCTATCTATCTATCTATCTATCTATCTATCTATCTAATAACATTCAAACTGTAACACCTTTCCCCTGATGCTTCAATGTACTTAGACATGTGGTGAAACTGGATGAATGTCCTTTAAACATCTGCAACAATCCAAAACTTACATTACATAGATTAAACACAGACACATACTGAAAACTGTTTGACGGCAGTATGATGCTTTAAGGCACTTTCCATAAAGCAAACTTTGTGCCTTTGGCTTGTAACTAATATACTGAAGAGTCACTAACTGTATAAACAAAGCACTACGGTGTATATCCAAACTGACATTACATTTTTAACATTATATTCTTATGCTTCCATAGATTAAATCTACTTTTCGCTGACAACATGTATTAATAACCAAGTGAAAACATGGGGGAACCATGTTTAAAAGGTTGCAAGGTTGTATATGTAATATTGAGAAGACCCGTCAATAGTGGCGCTTGGATAGCGCACCAGGAGAAGAGGAGCAGTGTACCCTACTGTCACCGACAGACCATGTGAGGAAACATCATATGCATTCAGACATTGGCAAGAAAAAAAGTGAATCATACAAAATGGCTTCACATTCTTACATATAGCACTTTTAAACAGAATGACAATTTGCAGTTGTAGTACACATACAGAGACATGCAAAACATAAAATAGTAGAGGTAGAATATGATTGTGGAAAGACTAGAATTAGTATGGGGCTAGAACAGTGACATTCAATTTTGGCATTGAAAATCAAATTTTACATTGAAGCCGGAAACCCAAACTGAAAAACAATAGCACTGAAAAATTTTGATGGCACTGAAAACCTCCACTGAAACATAAAACACAGGTTTTCAGTTTCAACTTTGGCGTAGAGAGGGAGGGCTTGAGGGGAAGAGCAAGGAGCGTGTGATTTCTTTACATCCATAAGTCTGCTCCTCTTTGCTGCTGCTGTGTCAAAGATAACTTTTAACGTACATGATTCTCTTTTGGCAGAGGTCCACCGGAACAAGCGCTAACGTGAGTGTGCCAGTGTAAGCCCTTGCCAAGGTATGCAGTCCAGTCAGGCTTCTGAATGTAAATAAATCACGTGCTCCTTGCTCTTCCCCTCAATACAATTTTTTTCAAATGCAAGTTTTTCAATGCCATTGTTTCCCTTTTCAGTTCAGGTTCTGCTTTCAATGCCAAAGTCAATGTCACCATTCTAGCCCCATAAATTAGCATCTTATGTTTGTCAAAATTAAAAAAAGAGACATCTTTAATGGATGGGTATGTACTTTATTTTATTTATCCCCTAGGGGAAATTCGTGAATGTAATTAAGCATAAAAAAAAAAACATCACAAAAGTTATTTTTCAAAACATATATTGACCTGTAAAAACGTAATGCTTAGTAGAAGAGGCCATCCCTGGTCAGGTGAGCCTCATACAAAAACCCTGAGAAATACTGTAAAGCTCTCCCAGTAACATCATTGGAAATTAACTGAAGTCGCAATTACACAACTCCATGGAGTGCTCTTAATTTGAAAACAACGGATAAAGGAAGTGCACTTACATCGGTGACACCCGGCCCAGACAAGAGGGAGAGAGCAAGGAGGAAATCAATCCCAGTGACCCTCACCCATATGTACTCACAAACAAGGTGGGGGAGGACTGCCTACAGGGGTATCACACAGGATGATGGGAAACAGAACTGTGAGATCAGGGAAAGCCCATCCACTGAGGTTCACCTGCAGGAGACACAAGAAAAGAAGATGAACACACTTGGAATTCAAACTGTCAGTAATCCAAATTTGCTTCCAAATGAGTTGTTTGCATCTTAAAGCCCGCAGTCAAACTGTTTAACAAACAAATGAATCGTTTCTTCCAGCATCAAGTCTTTCATTAGTACCAACCTCAATTAAATAATCAACCACCAGGATGCTGCAGTTAGAGATGGTGGGCGACGCAGATGAGGGAATAGTGAGCATGATCTCAGTGTGCACGTCAGAGGCGTGACTGCAGATGGGCTCTCCAGCCACCGACACCAAGAGCTTGCAATACTCCCTCTTGTTGACCTTGTTTTTGGTGTAGTAGACCTGCTTCTGCTGCAGCCTCACCTTTGGAGTAGCTGTTCGAGATGAGCCATTACTAAACTTGCAAATTATTTTCACAGTTTCACCTGGAGGAAAAACAGACACAGGGTTGGGACGACAAATTTTTCAGAACTTCATTATCATCCTTATTTCATTTGAAAAATGGATGGATGGATGGATGGATGGATGGATGGATGGATGGATGGATGGATGGATGGATGGATGAATGGAAACAGTACCAGGAATGTAGCCTTTCTTCTCTATACTGGCTGTCATTGTGATAGGATAGGAGGCACACCATAGACAGCACACTGTCATTTTGTTGGAGCCTGAGAGAGGAGTCTGCAAAAAAACCACAAAAAAACACAAAAAAAAAACAGCGTAGTGACACAGTGACAGAAGTGCAGCAGAAATCAACATATTTTACCCACTATGCTAACAAACAAGTGATACAATACATGCGCCAATGGACATTAATCAAACTGCAACTTTTAAATGACACTACGGAGTAAGTTTGTAATGTTGTCTCACGACCATTTGTGTTCATTTTTGCAGCTTTTATAGCTCCATCATTTCTGTTGTGGATTGCCTTGTGGTGTAAATTGTCAACACATTGAAAGTTTTTTTTCAAAATTTCATCTCTTTTTCCATTGTGAACTGACTACACGCTCCAAACCTGCGTATACGTACTGTGTGTCCACTTACGACTCAGCCTGTGTTTCTACTGGTTTGTGGTCATTTCATTGAGAATATGTTTGAGGATATTGAAGTAGAGCATTAACTCACACAAGGGGCCTCGTGTCTAAATCTTCATACATCAGTTCAGTTTTATGGTTACGTGTGTGAAAGTGCTGATTTTGACATGTCAAAGCAGGTACTTCATTGCAGAGAAAGCCGTTGTTAATGATAGTGGTTCCACCCATACTTTTCTTGCTGTGAAAGGTCACAATGTCTGCAGCGAATGAAGCTCTATTCCAGTACAGAAAACCTGAACACACAGCAGCAGCTCTTTTTTATTTGCACTGAGGATCCCTGGTAGGTTAGTCTGGTCATGCATCACTTACCTGCAGCTCTGGCTGGTTGGCATTAATGCTGTTTACAAAGTTCAGCTCTGTTGTAAAGTCCTTAGACATATGCCATGGTCTGTTGATGCCCACTGTCAAGTTGTACGCTATTTTTCCATGAAGTCCATGAAAGGAGGATGGGAAGTCTCTGCATTGATGCAAAACAATCAAAAAAGGAAGGTGGAAATAATGAGATGATGATGATGATGATGATGATGATGATGATGGGAAAAAAACCCACTATAATTCTTATGCAAAAGTTAAAACGAAGATGCATCTAGCTCAGATATTAGAGAAAACTATTTAAAAGCATCTAGTTTTAGTTGTCTAAACGCTTTTTTTTTTCTCCTTAAAGTTTAAGATAGTTGCTGCATGTGTGTCGTTACCCCAAATACCACGTGACCCCGTAGCAAAAACAAGAATGGAGGCAGCTCATACACACCCCTGTGGCAGCTGACATGTAAACGGATACATATGTGTGCCAGGCTGAAGTTTTACTGCCTCGTCAGTAGCTGCAAGACAAAGACAAGACTGCAATGAACAATGACTGATTGTTTATGTTGCAACAGTGCACTCAAACAAACTCTGTGTGTGCATACCACCGTTTCTTTGCATGATGACGGCTTTCAAGTTGAAAAACTCCAGTTTGGCCGCGAAGTGTCTGCGTCGTCTCTTCTTCCCTCCCCCTCCGCTAGACCAATGGACATTCGCTTTTCCTTCCAGTGCCGCCGTTATTGAAGTGATTTTCGTCTCCTTTGTAAGGTCGAAGGAGAAGTGTCCAGTTACTGGTTCGCCACTGGAGAAAGTATTCCTCTCGTTCAACACGTTTAAGTTGATGTTGAAATTCTTGAAGGTCTGCTGGAACATCGTTGAAACTGGAGTTAAGGTAAAGATACATAAAAACCGTATCTAGTTTTATCCGGTGTAATAAACGTTTCTGTGTAGTAAGATAGCCCGGATAAATGTAACTGTAATTAAAACGCTGAGCCTCTTCACCACCACAGCAGTGAGTTTAGCAGGCCGCGCAGGCGCACAACATGCCGGAGGACCAGCCCAGATTTCAGGCGGAGCCAGGGTGCCCATGTCCTGTGTCTGCAAGACTCAGTGCTCTGCGGAGTGCTGTGGAAGTCACGAACAGTAAAACGGGAATGGACTGTGGAATATGAGAAGAATGCAGAACATCTGTTGTCTGTAACCTCTCTGCACATTGGACAATTATTCCTGTCAGATCCCAAACTAAAATCCGTTAAAAGCTCCTCAAGTTATCTGCTTTTAAACATAGTTTAATCACTACAAGGCCTACTTAATGATGTAACATCAACATTTTTATATGTATCATATGGATTTATAAGACTCTAAACAAGAACAACAACCAAGATGATTAAGTAGGCTAATGCTGTAATTAAATTTTTCTAATTTAAAATTAAGATTACTGTCTTGTTCTGCTATGTAGGTGCTTTTTCTCAAAACCACTTGTGATATTTGGACTATTACCTTGATCAAATGTTAAACTTGAGAAGTTGTCATTACATTTGTCAATGTAGTTGGCATTTATTTTATTTGGATTTTATATTTTTAAATTTTATTTTAACTTTATTTATTGAGGTGAATCCCATTGAGATAGAAATCGAATTTTCAAGAGTGGCCTGAATGTACACAAAAAAACATAAAAAAAAAAACAATAAATGAACAGATAGTTCAAAAAAGAATTTACAATTCAATTTAAATGACAAACAATAAAAATGATAATACTGTAATAAAAATAACACACAAGCTTCTGTAAGCCTGATCAGAGGTTTTAGATGTAAACGGACAAATCCCTAACTCAGACATGGTTCACATTACATTGAATAGAATTGCAAAGAAATATATGTTTTGACAGAAAAGCATTCAGCATTCATATGTATGACAAAGCTTGAGGGGATTTGCAGATTTACAGATTGTATCCCACAACAGAACATTTGTAAAACACAACATCAGCATCAAAGCTGTTGAAAAACTTTGGCTGCATGTTTTCAGTGAACTCCCAAAGCAGCTCATGCTGGAGGCTTTCTGAGGCAGATGTTTATGCTGTAAAAGCAACAGGAATCTGTGTATCCAGTGTTGCTTAATGGCTTTAAGTAGAAATTAGTTTGCATTGTGTTTTTGTGGTTTGAGAAAGTTTTTTTTAAAAGGCTAAAACTCATTTGCCTACCTCTAGACTTGCCTCTATAGCTGTGTTTTGCACTTTTTGTTTTGTTTTGACCAGATTTTTAGATATTCAAATCTCAGATTTGGAAAGAGAAGAAGCAAAAAAAAAAGAAAAGAAGAAAGCAAAAACTATTGGTAAACCATGGTGCTTGTAGGATTAAGTGAGAAAATATGTTTAGTTTTGTCGAAGTGGCTCTTTAACAGTCTGAAATTGTCTAACCACTAGATGGCACTAAACACTTTACTGTGATGCTCACTGTGCATTGTACAGTATAAACCATGACTATACAGACCTTACTGACAACATAACATGTCATTACAAACCCACATGTCATATTTCCTCAAGATGCAAGTCAATCATTTCAGAACTGCTCTTGGAATAAGCTGCAGAGTGGCATTTTAAACATAATGTTGTGTTATGTTTTAATAACAAGTGGTTTAACTGCCCTTTGATGGGGTTATGGTACACAATACAGCCATAAAATGCATATAAAGACCCGATAAAACTGACAGCACAAGGCATATAAAAACTCCTGGCACAAGTTAACTCGACCACAGATCTTTTCATACCTGCTGTCTTGTTCTGCTTGAGAACGGGATAGACCCGTCAGCAGTCTCCTCTAAAGCATCAGATTTTCTTTGGTGTGTAGTGAGGCACAACATTTTGGACAAATGACTTGTCAGAGATTGTGTCTGGGCTGATATAGATGTATGGAAGCCATGTATTGCTTACTATACTAGATTTACCCTTTGGCGGCTGTCACAGGATGGGATATTGGTAATCACTTAAAACACACAGACAATTGCGAACATATGCACTGTCAATAGATTAACAGTCTTGTCATGCACTTATTGCAGGAATTGTGCTTAAATAACTCAGGAAACCAAAAGTTTGTTAAACTGCCATCCCTTGTTTAATGGTTAATTTTCTATTTGCCAAGTGTTTATGTGTGGGCCTTTATCAAATAAAATGTTTGACAAGACAGTTGGTGATATTTAGATCAGAATCTCGATGTAGTGTCCCAACCGCATTTTGAAACAGGAAGAGCTGAAAAGCAGAAATCGCTTCGATCAACAAACTTTAATCATCTCTGCTATTAAGACTAACGGTCCATTAGCTGCTCTAAGACTTAACATTGTGCCGTATAAACAGTGGAAAGAATTTATTGTTGCAATGGTGCTGGAGGCCCAGACAGCAACTCGTGCAGAGTGGCATTCACATGAAATCAGGACCCCAGCTGTTTTGCATCAGGACCGCTCTGATGTTTTTAAGGATTACTCGTAACACTCCTGGAAAGTTTAGCTAATGGATATGAGCTATCACATCAAGCGCAGTTACTCCTTTCTTCTGTAGCCTTCATTCACTTTTGTACATCAAAAAGGGCCAAAGTACGGAATAAGATCATTGCGTGACAATAATGCTTTTGCCTTTTTACCTCTTTACCTGCGCTGCTGCCAAATGAGAGATCTTTGACTCAAAATCCTGAGCTTAATGTTATAGTGGGACATGATTTCAACAAGTCCTGTAGAGAATCTTTTTCTTTTTCTTTTTTTTATGCTGAGGGAACGTTAACTTCTGCGACATAAGATGTTCTCGGTTTTGTGAAAGGCGGCTGGTTGTTGTGAATGTGCAAAATTGATGCAGATGAGAACTTGGCATGTTCTGCTTCCAAGTTAAAGAGTCTTAGCAACCTGATCTTTTGTTGTGTGGATCTACATGTTGGCCATGAATGTGTGTGTGTGTGTGTGTGTGTGTGTGTGTGTGTGTGTGTGTGTGTGTGTGTGTGTGTGTGTGTGTGTGTGTGTGTGTGTGTGTGTGTGTGTGTGTGTGTGCCGTGTGTGTGTGTTAAGGTGAGTGTACTCACACACACCACTGTTTATAATAGGCTTTGACTTTAGCTGTCTCTGATAAGGGCACCTATCAGGTTTAGTTGAGCTCACAGTGACTTGACTTCGCCTGCCAACTCGGTAAACCAACCACACACAGTATGACGGCCGCACACATACACACATACACACATCTATCCCTCCATCCATGTCTTGATCTCAGAGATATCACATCACATTGTTAATTGGATAGCTGTGTCCAGTACTGGTGAAGTTACTGGATCTATGACAGCTTTATTTTTGTTGGTCTTGGCTCATTTCTTTCTCTAGCTTTAAGTCACTTGACTTTATCTCAAATACACCTTTAGAGATTTGGGAACATGATACTTCCTCTGATGTTGTCCTCTCTGAATCTCTATAACAGCCCTCATCAGCTACCCATAATCACACAGCTGCTGTGTGCAACGTGTTTCCCTCATCATCGAAGTTTCTTGTCCATTTCTCATGTGAGCTCAAACAGTGTAATTACTTGGAATTACTCTGTTTTTTTCTGGCATAATTTCACCCCTCTAATCACTCTTCAATCTTTGCGTAATGATTTCTATTTTGACTGTTTTTTTTTTTTTACCACATTATAAATCTTATTGTTTGTTGGAATACAGGAATAGAGTAGACAGTGGCAGTTCAGTCAGATCTAAATCCAAAGTGAAGTAAAAGAACCCAGAGGATAAGCCGTGTTATTGATCTGTAGTTTCTACACACCGCCTCTCTCCTCTAGTTAATCCACAGGGTCAGCTCTAATGACATTGAGGAGCTCCTCTGGCAGTCGGCGCTGCTGCCATTTGCAATTTAGATGGAGGGAAAGGAGAAGAGCAGGAGGTGCGGGAGGGTGAAAACGAGGAGGGAGAGTGAAGGAGGGCTGAAAAGAGTGACAGGGAAAGATGATGGATAAAAGGAAAAGACAAGCAAGGGGGTAGACAGCAGGAGGATGAGTGTACTGCAGGAAAATGGTTGTGGGAAGAGAGAGAAAAATAGAAAATAGTGTAGGTGTATTTGAATGACAGAAAATGAGAATTTTAGCAAGAGGTTAGACTGTTGGTTGAATTGATACAATATGTGAAGTCGCACAAAATAAATACTATTTTGTAACTTTTTCTTAATGCTTTACATTTAAAGAAATAGGATTTAGGTTATACGCTTATTTGCTTTCTTGCAGACAGTTAGATGAGACGATGGATACCACTCTCACATCTGTATGATAAGCTGGTTACCTCAGCTTAACACAAAGACTGGAAACCTGAAAACAAAACCAAAAGTGCAAAAACCAAAGTGTTTTTATAAATAAAAAAAACAAAAAAAAAACGTGTTGGGGGTTTTATGGGGGAGTTATGTGCTGGACTATTTCATGGGCAGGTGCACCACAACAAGATATGGCATATCAGTTAGTGAGCTTTAGAAGTGTTTACATTCAGACGGAGCCAGGCTACCTGTTTCCCCCTGTTTCCAGTTATGCTAAGCTAAGCTAATCGGCCGGCAGCTTCATACACACAAGAGTGGTATTGATCTTCTGAGCTCTTGACAAGAGAGCGGATAGGCTAAAGTGTATTTCTTAAAATATTGAACTATTCCTTTAACCAACATGTGCAGGTACCTTCATGTCTCTCTGTGTGCTACAAAGTTTCAGAATGAAACACCTCTTGATTGCTACCCAAACTAAAATACCTTTAAAGCTTGTGTTTAAACATTTGAGACTTACAATGAGAGTAAATTGAGAGGAAGGGGTTAACTATGTCACATTTGTGCAGTTATGTACTTTTTTTTTTTTTTTTTTTTTTTTTTTTTTTTTTGCCCCCGCCAAAAGAATTCCTGCGGCAAAACAGGAAGCCACAGAGGGAACAGTTGGCAACCCTAATCTTGTGTAGATCCTCTGATAGCTTTCTTCTCCACAAACAATGCCGGTCAGGGCTGAGGAGGCTCTAGAGGGGTGTTGAAAGACCCGGTAAC